GCGTCAGGACAGACGTCCCAGACAATGCCGGGTGCTGTCGTCATGGGGTCAGGGGGGTTATGCGTGAATCAGCTGTTTATGAGGATAGTCGGGCAGGACCAAATGCTCCTAGCGGAGAGGGAGAGGCATTACCTCCGGATGCAGGGCGCTGGGAAGCGTCTTTCTTTCGGGGGGTGGGGGTGGGGGTGGGGTGAAGCGGGGGCTTGAGCAGGCTGGCGTTAGCGTGGCGTCCATCCAGCGAGCTGATGCCGGTGCGGAGGATCGAGTCGCAGCTCTGAGTCTGCCTCTTACCGCGAGTCGCGCGCCCAGGTGATCGGCTCATTTTGACGCGCTCGGAGTGTCAAGTAAACCAAAAATTGTTGGAGCTAAAAACACTAAATCCACAGGGCAGCTAACTCTCTGTGTGAGCTTATTTGTGCGAAATATTTAGGACATCTAGCTAGTGACCTGTGTGTTACTCAAGACCAAACCAGGACTCTGCTGTGAAATTTGGAACTAGGGGAACGTTCCATGCCCGGCTGGTATCAAGGTCATAGAAGAGAAGCCAGATTTAAATGTAGATAGAGATCAGCGATTCCATGCAGAACCCGTTTCTATTAATGTAAGTTGAATTTTCTGGCAGATACAGAAAACAGTTCTAGTCGCAATATACACGAGCATTTAGCGATATAATACACCATAAGGCGTGATTGGATATCCAAAACACATCATGTCAAGTTAACACACCAGAAGTGCAGCATAAGTGGATGGAGTTTACATCTGCGAGAGATCCGCAAAACGGCTTGCGAATGCTTGAATGTTCCGACATATAAATGGATGTTATGCTAAAATGGGTGATAAGACCTCACCTGGCACGACGAAAGGCATTCCGTGAACTTGTATCTTCGCATTCGTCAGGGGTGGAACAATATTTTTTTAGAGCCACTCTTCACCACAGTGACTGATTATGTTCAAAAGAAAAGAAGCATGTTGTTACATAACTATGTGTTCTTCGGTATCATCCGTTGCGTATAGCCATTGGGACGTGCGAAACAGCAAACTGTTATTAGTCGGCTAAGCAATTAGAGGTGCGCTGCGCACTCGTGCGTCGGACCTGAAATGATAAAAGTTTAGGGAATAAGACTAGCCCACACCAAATATAACAAGTAAATGTAGGTGTCTCGATAAATTGCTCGATTGTAGTAAAACATGACGTGAATTTAGACCTCTCTAAAAAATCAGAAGACATTCAAGCACTTAGTTGTAAGGGTTTCAACTCAAGATGCTGGTTATATTGGAGAAGAGCGTATACCAGTCTGAATACTGATATGACTTGTTCTGTTTTCACGCATACAAACCCGAACAGCTCAAAAACATATTTATTGGATCTGTGCTTTTACTTCTGCGCTTCTCCTGATTCAGACTGCAATAAAAAATAATTGTAAAACAGTGTAACAGAGCAAGCCGTGCAATTACACCTCTTGACAAAGAATATCCAGGCATTTGTCACCTGGTTAGTGGTGGACCTATTTTCATCCATTACCACATCACGTACATAATACTAATGTTGTTCTGCATTCTACCCTATGTCATTACAAAGCTTTTATATAAAATTGTAAAGCCTACGAATATTGATACACACCTGCCTGGCAACACATGCCAATTCAGTCTACTGTGGCATCATTTACGCGTATTTATGATATGATATTAATGGTGATTGTTCACAGCTTTAAAGGCCGAGAAACATCCACATAGAAACAGCAAAGGAAGTACCTAGGGACCTAGTCTCACAACATTATTTGGGAGATGGGGGGGGGGGGGGCTGAATAGTGAAAAATGATTTAACCTATGTGCAAAATATGCCAACAAGCAGGCTTCTTCCCATATTTGATCAACTTCCTTCCCAAAGCTGGGGGAGAGGGAGGCCAAGTTGTGGGGGGGGGGGGGGGGGGAATATAGCCTCCTCAACTGAATAGGTAACTACATCACTGGAAATAGCGGTCAAGCTGCTATTACTCAGATGATGACATATAGGGGAAAAATCCGGTCTAATAGATTCAGCTTAGCTGCGTGAATACAACAATGTTACATCCATATTGGTACATATTTACTAAATAATGTTGGGTATTTACTAGAGCATCAGAAAAGATATTTACCAAATCCACGCAAACAGTTGCAACAAAAAAGTGATTCTGATCGTTTTGAGTGAAAGGATCTAGTTTTCATTTTGGACAGGAGGGACATCAGGCTCCTCATTTCACCCTATCCTATCCGACCAACCGTTTTATTTTGAAATGTGTATTATGAATTGAAACGTATATTGTATATGTGTGTTGGGCGCATGTGTTACATGAATTGATACTCGAAACCATGTCTCTCTCTCTCTCTCTCTCTCTCTCTCTCTCTCTTCTCTCCTCTCTCTCTCTCTCTCTCTCTCTCTCTCTCTCTCTCTCTCTCTCTCTCTCTCTCCTCTTCTCCTCTCTCTCTCTCCTCTCTCTCTCTCTCCTCTCTCTCTCTCTCTCTCTTCTCTCTCTCTCTCCTCTCTCTCTCTCTCTCTCTCTCTCTCTCTCTCTCTCTCTCCTCTCTCTCTCTCTCTCTCTCTCTCTCTCTCTCTCTCTCTCTCCTCTCTCTCTCTCTCTCTCTCTCTTCTCTCTCTCTCTCTCTCTCTCTCTCTCTCTCTCTCTCTCTCTCTCTCTCTCTCTCTCTCTCTCTCTCTCTCTCTCTCTCTCTCTCTCTCTCTCTCTCTCTCTCTCTCTCTCTCTCTCCTCTCTCTCTCTCTCTCTCTCTCTCTCTCTCTCTCTCTCTCTCTCTTCTCTCTCTCTCTCTCTCTCTCTCTCTCTCTCTCTCTCTCTCTCTCTCTCTCTCTCTCTCTCTCTCTCTCTCTCTCTCTCTGTCTCTCTCTCTCTCTCTCTCTCTCTCTCTCTCTCTCTCTCTCTCTCTCTCTCTCTCTCTCTCTCTCTCTCTCTCTCTCTCTCTCTCTCTCTCTCTCTCTCTTTCTCTCTCTCTCTTTCTCTCTCTCTCTCTTTCTCTCTCTTTCTCTCTCTCTTTCTCTCTCTCAAGGCATAAGGGTAAATATAAGGGAAAATGTATTTGCTGTGAATATAAGCATAAGTATAGTCACTTGATCATTTCTCAGCCCTCCCAGTTTTTGCCAATAGAATCTACTGATTGAAATCGTTTACTGCCATGGAGCAACCAAGATTTGTATTTAGAAATTGCCGTAATAACTACGATGGCCCATCTGTTAAGGACCAAGTGCGCCACAATGAGAAGTATACCGACGTGCGCTCACACTAATTTACATTTTGTTACTCGCTACAAAAAGCTAATGTTAGGCTACTTGCTGCGCAAAATGTTATGTTTCGGCAAGTGATTTTCGAAGACCAAACGTGCAGGTTTTTCCTGGATTACCTTCGAGGCCATTTTGGGAGAAAGCGTTCCTCTAGCGTTCCCTTTCAACCAGAAAAATATGTCTTTCTGGGAACTAGGACAGTGCCGTTCCTCTGCGTTCTCTTAGCACGAAAACCTGGATCAAACTCGAGATCGGTGTCTGAAGTGCCCCGGATCTATTTACACAACCAGCCGTGATTCAGTAGCAACAGCAACCAGCAACCAGATGTGATTGTGATCATCTGACATTCAAGATGTAAAAATCACCAAAAATCCTCGGGAGTCCTTGGAAAAACCTTGAAGAGTCTCTGAAGTTATTTCGGAAAAACCTTAGAGGGGGCAAAATGATGTTCCCCAACCCACACGAGAGCGTGTTCGGCTTGGAGGTCTGACTGGTGCTTGGCGCACCCACTTGATATGATCCGGGGCGCTTCTGCTACCGATGAGTCTGCAAGGGTGTACGCCGCGCTAGCAACTCGCGGTGGCGAGAGAGCGAGAAAACATCTCAATGTGGGCAAATGCATGCTTATAAAATTCATTCGATGGGTATTAAGACAGCCAGCGTCATGCAAGCTGTCATGCTATCTAATCGCATTCGGCTAGATACCCATTGATAGCCGACTCAATGTAGGCCCCTTGGGCATGACAACGATCACTACCGACAAGGCCTTAAACACGTTCAGTAATATTCACCATTGCGACACATCAGAAACCGCTGAGACATTGTCGCTGCCGTGCCTTGGCCATAGCAAGATGGTGGACCCCATGCTCATAGTTAAACGCCCGCGCTGCTGCCCATAAACGTCGTGCAACCTTCCGCCCCAGTTACATATGCGCAGTGCACAGTCCATTCCCTGGCTAGCGGCCAGCTTCGTGCTCGTTCCCACCGCCCAGACGTCCGTTCCCACTCGTTCTCCTCGCCCAGTCCGTCCGTTTCCCGCCCATTTCCGTTACACCGTGCCGTTCTCCGTTAAGCTTCGCTGGACAGCCGCGCCCTCGGGGCTCCCTGTTGTCACAGGCTCCGCTGCACAGCCACGTCCTCGGGACTCCGCTGTTGTTACAGGCTTCGCTGCACAGCCGCGTCCTCGGGGCTCCCCACTGTCACAGGCTCCGCTGCACAGTCGCGTCCTCGGGGGCTCCGCTGCTGTCACAGGCTCCGCTGCACAGCCGCGTCCTCGGGGCTCCCTGTTGTCACGTGCTCCGCTGCACAGTCGCGTCCTCGGGGGCTCCGTTGCTGTCGCAGGCTCCGCTGCACAGTCGCGTCCTCGCGGGCTCCGCTGCTGTCACAGGCTCCGCTGCACAGCCGCGTCCTCGGGGCTCCCTGTTGTCACGTGCTCCGCTGCACAGCCGCGTCCTCGGGGGCTCCGCTGCTGTCGCAGGCTCCGCTGCACGGCCGCGTCCTCGGGGGCTCCGCTGCTGTCGCAGGCTCCGCTGCACAGCCGCGTCCTCGGGGCTCCCTGTTGTCACAGGCTCCGCTGCACAGTCGCGTCCTCGGGGGCTCCGCTGTTGTCACGGGCTCCGCGGCTCCGCTGAAGCGTCACGCGATGGGAGCCCCTCCGCACGGTGAAAGCGGCCGCCGCCCCGCGGCCGGCCGCGTGCACACCGTAACCAGTCCAGAGCGTGGACGGTAGCCGCGAGAGTGATCTTGGTGCAGCGTCGGCCCCGCACCGCGTGGCGGACGGTACTTGGTGGGACGCCGGCTGCAGCCGTACAGTTTGACGATCGGTGTCGGCAGCAGCGGCAGCATGTGGCGCATGCTGGCAACGCCGGCTTGGCTGGCGTTGACTCTGCTGGTAGTGGCCAAGGGCCAGGTGAAACTTTCGGGCAGATGTCCGCACATACCAGCGCTCAAGCCTTTCAACACACACCGGGTGAGAGTTTGGGCGGCCCGTGACGGCCCTTGTGCCGGGGTTTCGGTGTGCGGCGTACGGAATTAGGAGGCAGAGTTGGGCATGAATATCTAGCCGCCGACATCAGACGATTATCAAATAAATTGACCACGCATAAAGCAATTTTAAGGCCCATATGTATATTTGTGTGTGATTCCATCTACTGAATGGTCGTTAGCATCCGAGGTCTGACTGTAGTTTGTTTGCAATAGATCGGGCATAAAGTGATTGTTGTCCTATGAGCTTTTCGTCATGCTACAGCGCTGAAGGTGGCCATGAAACAACGCATCACTGCCAGTAATCTGATCGTCTTTGGGATACAGTTCTTGAAAGTTGCATCATATTTAGTTCTTTATTAGTGATAGCACAGTATTCCTTAATTAATTAGACGTGAGGAACGTCGTAACCATCACTGATCATTTAATGCCATCACATCATTCAACATAATCACCCAACATTAACTTATCATCCAAATGTTATTTGACGTCATTCCTTGTAGCCATTCACCTCAAAACAAACACCGTGCATGCGAAATCTTTTTGAAATCGGTGACCACTATACCCCTGTTCATCGAGCCCATAGTCCTGAGTGACAAACAGAGCAATCGAACAAGTCAACCGCGACATGCTGGGACAAAGGTTGCAAGGTTGCTTGGGGTGCCGACCGTTGTTCTGGTTTCTCGGCGCTTTAGCTCGGCTCGCGGTCAGCCAGTGTTGCTGACCTCAGTCCAGCCGCTCGCCCGGTCCTGATCAGCCTCCAGCGCTGATCTGGTGCCGTCCCTCTGCCACCACTGATGCTGACCTCAGCCCAGGCGCTAGCCTGGTCCTGATCAGCCTCCGGCGCTGATCCGGTGCCGTCCCTCTGCCACCACTGATGCTGACCTCAGTCCAGCCGCTCGCCTGGTCCTGATCTGCCTCCGGCGCTGATCTGGTGCCGTCTCTCTGCCACCACTGATGCTGACCTCAGCCCAGCCGCTAGCCTGGTCCTGATCAGCCTCCGGCGCTGATCTGGTGCCGTCCCTCTGCCACCACTGATGCTGACCTCAGCCCAGCCGCTAGCTTGGTCCTGATCAGCCTCCGGCGCTGACCCGGGTGCCGTCCCTCTGCCGCCAGTTCCTCGGCAAGTGGTTCGAGGCGGAGCGCTTCTTCGTCAGCTACGAGTCACTGGCGGGCCGCTGCTGGGGCGAGCGCTATGTCATGCTGCACGGCCGGCTCAGCACCCTGCTGGAGTGGCGTCTGGCGCTGTGAGTGCTGCACCCCCGTCCCTCCGCATCCCGCTGTCGCCGTCTGCGTCCCTTGCAACGCCGTCCGCACTGCTCCTGTCGCCGTCCACACTGCTCCTGTCGTCGTCCACACTGCTCCTGTCGCCGTCCGTACTCTCCCTGTCGCAGTCCACATCCTCTCTGTCGCTGCATGTACTCTACATGCAACCGCCACGCGAGCGCGCGTGAAGTACCTTCCACAAATACAACATTCCCAAGTTTTTTCTTCAAGAGCGTGGTTTCAAAAAAATCCAGGAAGCACAAAATGACATCAGTAGAAGCGAGGACATGTGGATCAGAGGCATTAAGCTTTGTTACCGATCTCGGTTGCAAATGTGAGGAATACTATCAGTGCGACTCGATGCACGTACTTTTAGTTCAAGCTAGTCATGATAATTTCAACCACTGACACTTTCCTAAGCCTAATACGAGCACAGGCAAACGTTCTATGTTTGCTTTGTTAGCAGGGTCGTGCAACTTCAAAATGCTTATTTTTGACATGCGAATGTGCTGAAAAATTGTAGGATTAAATGTTTCAATATCTTTCAGGACATAGCTTGGGACAACTCAGGAGCAAGGTGAAAATGTTCGGTCACTGCAACAGGGCAGTTATAACCCATATCGCCACAACTGCAAAGCATGTTACATACGATGGGATGCGTTGAGAGATTTGCCCATACATTTGTTACTTTAAAATACTGCGTAAGCGAGGCTTTGATGCTGAAAAATACCTAGCTAGAAAGCATGGTAAAATGGAGAGTTTAGGAAACAAGGTGGTATGTTTCATGGGCAGATCTGAATTCTAATGCCGGATAATAGCTTGACAGAGCTGTGGTTAGGTCACCCCCAAATATATATATATATATGCATATATATATATATATATATATATATATATATATATATATATCCTCCAGTCTACAGCGTGCCTTCATTCCTCCACGTCCACCTGGTCCTGCTGTCCGCCTCGGTTTCTTAAGCGTGCCGCCCGGTATTGCTGCGGCTGGCTGGCAGGCACTCCAATCTGCGTCGCTGCGCACCCCACAGCGTGGCCCTGTCACTGCTGCCGCCGATGCCTCGCACCTATCGACACCGCCCCCCCCCCCTGACTTTGCTGCTCCCCCCCCCCCCCCTCTGCCGCCGTGGCTGCCGCGGTCGCTGCTCCTGCCTAGCTGTGGGCAGCAGCACTGGGTCACACGGCCGTGCAGGACTCCCGCGAAATGTCTGGCTTGCGAAGAAGTGTGCCTGCAGCCGAGTGACGGATGTCGCGATGTAGCGTGTTTGTTCGTGTACTGCTTTTACATAGCTTGCGTCCTTCCCTAACGATATTATTGGACCTGCATGACAGATGATGGAACAGTTTTACTGAAAAAGTTCACATCACATCAGGCAAAATTGTATTGTTAAGATGTAAAAATGAATGAAGTGCATTTAAAAAACAAAAAAAGTGCGACCGTCTGCTCCCTCCCTGCAGCCGTCTACCTTCTCGCCGCCACAGGCTGTACCATCCATGCCACGTGTGCACTTGTGGAGCCGTTATACCCTTCCTGTCAGTGTGCACTTTTGTATAGCCGTTGTACCCACTCTGTGGCTTGCGCACCTTCGTTGTCACCGTCTGTACCCTCCCTGTCGCGTCTGCATCTTTCTTGTCACCGTCTGTACCTTCCATGTCGCGTCTGCACCTTTCTTGTCACCGTCTGTACCCTCCATGTCGCGTACATGCCTTCCTGATCACCTCTGCGCTCTCCCTGTCGCGTGTGCAGCCTTCTGGTCACTGTATATACGTTACCATACAATGGGCAGATACTTCGCCTTTATAACTTTGAGGTTGTTTTCCAAATAGATCAAAAGTCACAGCAACACCAAAAATAGTGGAACTCGGAGCCCTTTGAAAACACAAAATATAAATAATAAACACTGGTATCCCTTCAAAATTAAAGATTTGGGCCCTTTGTGGTGCCCTTCAGGCTTTGATGCCTCGTAAGAACAAAGGCTACAAAGTCCCGAAATGAATGTCTTGGTGCCCCTTCGCCAAATAGCCCGATGCAGGATTTCATTACGGACACTGAGGCATTGTGGTACCCCTGGAATTGGGTACCTCCCGAACATGAAGATTTGGGATTTTTTGGTATCCCTGGAATTTGGAGCCTTTTGAAAACAAACGCTATACGCCTCTGAAAGGCGTCCCTAGTGCGACCCTTTTCGCTTTAAGGACAATCTTCAGACTTCAAAACTGCTCTTATAACTTTAATGGGTGATCCCACAGGAGCCTGGACGCCAATGGGCGCCCTATGAGCCATCGGAGTTCCTTCTTCACGTTTTGGGATACCCAGGGTGTTCTTCCAGCCCTTTAAGCATACATTTGACCTCGGGGACATTTTTTGACCCACAGGTCACCACTTTATGGCTTGAGGCGCATTTTTATCTTTATGAACGTCTTTCTAAACCTCCGGACATATTCTCAGCCGACGGGAAGGCATCCCATGTTCGTCTCATAAATGTTCGAGACGACATTATAATTTTGAAGCCCTTAGACCTGCTCCCGGAACAGCCTTTAGATGTCGGCGCGATCTTTGAGCCCACGGACGCCCCAACAACAGGGTTTAAGACATTCTTTTATTGTTACGGGTCTTGTCGCCCTCAGGACGCATCTTCGAAGTCCAGGCGCCCTTGGATCACCTCTTGAGAAATGCGTTTACTTCCAATCAGAAGGGCCCGTGCCAAGATTCCCATCTGGATCCGCCACTGCATAAATATCATGTCGCTTAAGTCAGGGACTGTTTATGATATGATCCAAAAATAGATGGCATAACTTGCCTTTCGTTAAAGCAAAGTGGGGTCAATACGTTTAGACAAACATGGGGGCTTAGGTCATTGAGGTCACGGCTCGCCTTCTCCCTTCCCGAATCGCTACAAAACTTGACGACCCTGGTTTATCTGTAAGACTAAAAATGCTTTTCCCTGGAAAGGTCAAACAAGGTGAGACTGTGTCATTGAGATTTATGATAAAGGTCACAGGTCATGATAGCAAGCGCGTTTGGCTCAAATACCATCGAAAAGGGTCACACGAGTGAACAAGATCAGTCAACGATGCACTATGTCGGTGCATTGACACGGGATTTGTTGTTCTGGCCTTGACATGCTTGCGAAAAGCTCCTAATTTTTTGATAAGCTAAAAAATGGAAAGCGGCTTTGCGAGAAAAGACCGTTTCCTTCGCCTACCATTTCAGGCACTATTGTGAACAGCAGCTTCAAGGGAAGAAAACTAAACATTCACCCCACGTCGAGCAAGGGATAAGCGACATAGGCGACTCTAAAGCTATCATTCTGCATGCTGCACGCTATTCGCCCAACAAGACGATGAACGACAATGCATAGACCCACTACATACGGTTCGAGGCCATCCCACCGAATCCTGAACAACGTGGCTAACATGGGCGATTACCCGTTTAGTCTTACAACCAAATCTAGAAAATTTAGAGGAAAAGTGGATGGATAAGTCAGACCTAACCACACCACAATGCCCTTAAATAAAAGAGTGGTTTTTGTTTTTGGTTGTTCGAAGTGAATTCCTATGTCAAAACCTATGTCAAAACCTATGTCAAGATTCACTGGTTTTCGAAGTGAATCTTGACATAGGTTTTGGCCTTGCAGAATTAGAACGCACTGCAGCGCGCGGGTCGCTTATCTTCTTCGCAGGCCAGTGGTACGCAATTTTTGCGATCACGGGAAATTCTTTCGCAACAGGCTTTGTGCAATGGCTTGTGCCACCGAGAGGCTTAATATCTAAATCCAAGGGCATGCCTAGCTCCAAAGAACATTCACCGTTCTCGCCGATCTTTTTGTGTGAAATTAGGGGTCGCGCCACACCTGGCCTGAGAAGAGCTTTGTGCCTGCCGGTCAGTACGACTGATCAAGGAGATTAAGTTAGATGGCTGCACCGATGCGGCGTCCGACATTGGCTTAGGCAGGGCGCGGCAGTCAGCTCTGTCCCTGGCTGGCTGGTCCGTCCAGCTGATACCAGTCTGGAGGGATTGATCATCTGAAAATGCATGCATTTGCTGACTGGCATCGAGACAATGACAGCAACTATCAATGGAAAGCAAGCTGCGGCGTCACAGTCTGCCATGACCATAGTTACGTCAAAGACCAAAGACACGGCCGCCAAAGCTCTGATCATGCTACCTGATCCGTCCTCGTCCGTTACAGATTAGGCAAACCAGTTTCCATACGGCAGCAGCTGGGTACCCCGGACCCGTACGACCCGGCCCGGTTCTCTTACGTGGTGGCGCGACCGAACCTGCCCTGTGAGTGCATACCCTGGCGACTGACAGGGATTGTCTCGAGGAGTCGAGTCAGTGGCTAGCGGCTGGCGGGTCGGCGGTCGTTCGTCACAGTCGGTGCAGTGAGCACACTCACGTGCTCTGCATCGTGCTGCTGGGAGCATCAGCCACCCCTTGCCCACGCCGCAAGCTGGGCACACGGCAAACGGATCGGAGCATTCTTTTGAATGTCACAAGCACAGAGCAGATTTGCTGCTCAGGTACTCATGAGCCACAGGTCAACTTATAGACATGTGGTTGAGGCAGTGTGGTAAATAAAGTATTTACTACAACGCGGCTTGGACTGGACCGTTACGCGCAAAGTCCACCTGCCACCATCATCGCTGTGGTTTCAAGACGCGATATACTGTATCTGTCTCAGTTCTTATGTGAAAGCATTCAGTCACGGTGATCTTCTACAAAGTTCCACCCTTTCTTCACAGAAAGCAAAAAGAAAGAAACCTTCGATGTCAATATCTTATCCACAACTCTTTGCCAAGTTGAAAAAAGTTACAGGCAGTATGTACCCAAAAACCATATATAAACCATATACAAATTTTGTGCGGTGTACAATCACATATTGGAGGGTTGATATCTTGGACTGTCAGTAACAGCAGTAACAAGGCAAATGGACCGGAAAGGCCTGGACGCGGTATCAGCTATGAGGTAGTCAAAATGCGCTGCAATGCTCTTTTTAGTCCTTAAATATGTAGATGCAACTCATTAGTCGTGCTTCAATCCAGATCAAAATAATTCAACATCGCGCCATGCTTTCAGTTCTGCGTGGAGAGTACAAGATTCTGGCGACCGACTACAAGAATTTTGCCATCGCGTGGCAATGTGAGAACAAACCTCTGACGGGGTCTCACACAGGTAGGTGGTCGGGTTACGTCACCGGCGGTCGCTGCTCACCGTTGGTGACAAACGCTACCCGCCACACGAGCTAACAACTGACAGCGGCATGCCTGACTGTGCTCTGTCAAGCGTGCTACCTTGGCCACGCTCGTCTTTTTAACCTTGGTCGAATGATCGAGGCCTCGATCTCCCAGAGACAGAGCTTCGGCCTCCCGGAGACATAGCCTCGGCCTCCCAGAGACAGAGCCTCGGTCTCCCAGAGACAGAGCTTCGGCCTCCCGGAGACATAGCCTCGGCCTCCCAGAGACAGAGCCTCGGCCTCCCAGAGACAGAGCCTCGGTCTCCCAGAGACAGAGCCTCGGCCTCCCGGAGACAGAGCCTCGGCCTCCCGGAGACAGAGCCTCGGCCTCCCAGAGACAGAGCCTCGGTCTCCCAGAGACAGAGCCTCGGCCTCCCGGAGACAGAGCCTCGGCCTCCCGGAGACAGAGCCTCGGCCTCCCGGAGACATAGCCTCGGCCTCCCGGAGACAGAGCCTCGGCCTCCCGGAGACAGAGCCTCGGCCTCCCGGAGACAGAGCCTCGGCCTCCCAGAGACAGAGCCTCGGTCTCCCGGAGACAGAGCCTCGGCCTCCCGGAGACAGAGCCTCGGCCTCCCGGAGACAGAGCCTCGGCCTCCCGGAGACAGAGCCTCGGCCTCCCGGAGACAGAGCCTCGGTCTCCCAGAGACAGAGCTTCGGCCTCCCGAAGACATAGCCTCGGCCTCCCGGAGACAGAGCCTCGGCCTCCCAGAGACAGAGCTTCGGCCTCCCGGAGACAGCTTCGGCCTCCCGGAGACAGCCTCGGCCTCCCGGAGACAGAGCCTCGGCCTCCCGGAGACAGAGCCTCGGCCTCCCGGAGACAGAGCCTCGGCCTCCCGGAGACAGAGCCTCGGCCTCCCGGAGACAGAGCCTCGGCCTCCCGGAGACAGAGCCTCGGCCTCCCAGAGACAGAGCTTCGGCCTCCCGGAGACAGCTTCGGCCTCCCGGAGACATAGCCTCGGCCTCCCGGAGACAGAGCCTCGGCCTCCCGGAGACAGAGCCTCGGCCTCCCAGAGACAGAGCTTCGGCCTCCCGGAGACAGCTTCGGCCTCCCGGAGACAGCCTCGGCCTCCCGGAGACAGCCTCGGCCTCCCGGAGACAGAGCCTCGGCCTCCCGGGGACAGAGCCTCGGCCTCCCGGAGACAGCCTCGGCATCCCGGAGCCCACCTCAGCTGATTACTGAACCGCCAAGGCATGCTCCTGACAATGGTCTAGCGAAATGTATGGCATACATATATGTGAACAATATGTAGCATGTGCGTGTCATGACCGGCAAGAGTTCGGGGATCCGTCTTTTGAAATGCCATCAGAGATCATCTCCTTATGGGTTCCATGTCGGTCTCATTGTGCACGTTGTGTTGATTTGGCCTATCTTATTATATTACGTGATGTTGCAATCCTTTAGATTAGGCAAGGTGCAAGACCACTCAGGGTCAACAGAGTCAGATGTACCAAATAAGCGCGTTTTTACGGCGCACCGTTCAACCTGTGTCACGTCGGGATCATAATTGTTCTCGGCATTTTTGCCAACGCATTAAAGCGCATTGCGCTACGTAGAAGAAGCAAAGTAGCAGCTGAAATATGAGAGACGCCAACTGTTGCCATGTAATAACATTCTTTATGCCCATGGCAACCAAAAGCTTCAGAAGTCGCTACCAGCTGGTTTGATAAGTGCGTTGAAAAGCGTCTTTCATGAAAACTCACCTGACAGAGAGCCACTGATGCGGCATTTGTGTGCTATTCCACAAATTGCATCACCTAAAAAATAACTGACTAGGACTTGTGAGCCATGTAAGGCTTGGCTGTTTATTTCGCCGACATCGATGAACCTGCATTTTGGCTACTTTCTGGTCAACTGTCACCAAGGCCTCTCGACAAACGCAAACGGCATTTTGGGCGGCTGCTGGTTACAGCGACCAGGGCTGTATGCCTATGTAAGTTGCGGGGGGCAAACCGTTCGTGGCTCAGGCCAATGCTCTTATTTTCGGGATGGCTCCTGAAGATGGCGTCGGCCGCCTGCCAGTCGGTTACTGATACACCCGTGGGTCAGACAGTTTTGAGGTATGTGGTCAGCTGTGACTGGTGTGTTTATTTGCGTCGTACAGCCGGTGCCACGCATCATCTGCCACGTCCGGATCTGCTCCGAGGATTGGGATCGAACATCGCTCCTCAAAACACTTAAACGAGCGGATCTACGATTTGGAGCATAATAGCGCATACCCGCTTGCACACAACGGCTCACGCTCATTCTTTCATCAGCCCGATGCCCGTTTTTCTCCCCAATTTGCATGGTCAGCTCAGTGTTGCTGTGATGCCCGGCCGTGGAGATTTAGACCGGCTGGAAACTAGATTTGCATCTAATTCCGGCCCGTATTCGGTAGCTTTTTAAAGGAGATCTCCCACAATTCAAGATGTTTAGGTATGCATCAGATATGGTGATCTAAGCTCACTTGTAACTATTGGTATGCTTTTAAATGTAAAAGACTGGTCTAAAAAGACAATTTCACAATTCAGCAACTATACTCCTCAATACGTTACGGTTTGGTTGCGTCATTAAACGTTTGTTTAATGTCAATGTCGCTGCCAAAACTTTGACCGCAGCGGACGGGCTGGTTCACCTGCAACATTTCAACTTGTCGAGAGGTAATAGATTAATCGGTGCGTTGGCTCTTCCTTGTGGTCTTCTTGTATATTTGGCTGCGACTTTATATGTTCTATATGCTTTCACATTTCAGTTGCGGCGCTTTCTTAAGTTTTAATTCCCCACCCCCATTGGCACAAGCCTCAAATGGCACCAATGGCACCAATGCCCAGTTTCCTGTATCATTAAACACAAAACGTGATTCGTGTGCAAAATTTCTTCTAAACGCATTAGATCACTTAACCGCCAAATAAAGCCCGTTGATGTCAGAAATCGCGCCGGCGTACGCCAGACATGAATAATTCGACGTGCATACTTAATTTGACCTGGAGCACTACATGGCCATTGAGGTGGAACTATTCGTGTGGCGTTTCTAGGGCGTCATGCATAACTATGTTACCTTGAAATAGTTCGCACAAGTTCGCGGGCGTCAAGCTCAGAGGGTTTTAGGTTTTCTCAAGCGTCAAGCTCAAACAACAAGAGGGTTTTAGGTTTTCAAGAGAGCGTTGCTGTGAGCTGCACTGAATGATCTTCAAAATAACTGTAACAGTTCAAAATTCCGTACAAATGTGGAGCACTCCCTTTCATTTTCAACAAAAAATTACACTTTTCATGTTTATCGAATGGAGGAAAATAAATCGTGGTGATAAAGCAATGCTCCGGAAAAATGCGTTTGATGCAATAGTCTGCATACAAATACAGAACAGGCACAACTTTGAAAGACTTAAGCGCCATGCTGACGAGATTTGTGGAAACCTGCGATCAGTGGTTACAAAAAACTAGTTTCGAGGAGGCGTGTTGACCAGGCCGGATCTTCCTGTGCCAATTATTTTGAAAACTTCATCACAGTTCAAGCAGTTCCAAATATTTTCGCAATCCACTTTGTCCGCTGCCTCGCTCACCAACACCGAGTTGACAACGGTCACCAGGCTTTCTGTGTGGGCGGATATTCTTAACAGTTTAAGTTGAATTCTTTAAAGAACACATCGAGAGGGCGTAATAACCGAGTGGTTAGCACGCTAGACTCGCACATGGGGCCCGGGTTCGAGTCCCGGTTGCGCCATGGCCCCTGAGCGCTGATATGGCCGATGCCGTCGCTAGTGCTTCATTACAGGGACGCGGCGACGTGCGTCGCGTTCTCTTTTCTAAAAAGGAGAGAAAAGAAGAACGCATCGAGTTATGAGCGACTGCGTGTGATGCCATGCACGCCTGTCCGTGCGTACCACTCTGTGTCATCAGCAACTGTGCGCTGCGCTTGTGTGCGCATGTCTCGTGCGTCCGCTTGGCTTCGCTGTCTGGCGGTCCTCTCAGAGGTGACCTGACCTGCCCCCCCCCCCCGCGCTGCCGGCAGAGATCGCCTGGCTGCTCACCCGCGCCCGACACCCAGGCTACGACGTGATCCACACGGCCAAGGCGGCGGCGCTGGCCGCTGGTCTGGACGTGGGCCTGTTCCAGAAGCAGGACAGGAGAGGCTGCAGCCCACTGTAGGCGCCCGGCGGCTGGGGCACGCTCTGGCGTCTGCTGGGACCAGCCCGCGGCTGCCGCTCTCCTGGCCGGCCCGCGGCGGCCGTCTGCTGGGACCAGCTCGCAGCTGTCGCTCTCCTGGCCGGCCCGCGGCAGCCGTCTGCTGGGACCAGCTCGGGGCTGCCGCTTTCCTGGCCGGCCCGCAGCGGCCGTCTGCTGGGACCAGCTCGCGGCTGTCGCTCTCCTAGCCGGCCCGCGGCAGCCGTCTGCTGGGACCAGCTCGCGGCTGTCGCTCTCCTAGCCGGCCCGCGGCAGCCGTCTGCTGGGACCAGCTCGCGGCTGTCGCTCTCCTAGCCGGCCCGCGGCAGCCGTCTGCTGGGACCAGCTCGGGGCTGCCGCTCTCCTGGCCGGCCCGCGGCGGCCGTCTGCTGGGACCAGCTCGCAGCTGTCGCTCTCCTGGCCGGCCCGCGGCAGCCGTCTGCTGGGACCAGCTCGGGGCTGCCGCTCTCCTGGCCGGCCCGCGGCGGCCGTCTGCTGGGACCAGCTCGCGGCTGTCGCTCTCCTAGCCGGCCCGCGGCGGCCGTCTGCTGGGACCAGCTCGCGGCTGTCGCTCTCCTAGCCGGCCCGCAGCGGCCGTCTGCTGGGACCAGCTCGAGGCTGCCGCTCTCCTGGCCGGCCCGCGGCGGCCGTCTGCTGGGACCAGCTCGAGGCTGTCGCTCTCCTAGCCGGCCCGCGGCGGCCGTCTGCTGGGACCAGCTCGAGGCTGTCGCTCTCCTGGCCGGCCCGCGGCGGCCGTCTGCTGGGACCAGCTCGAGGCTGTCGCTCTCCTGGCCGGCCCGCGGCGGCCGTCTGCTGGGACCAGCTCGAGGCTGCCGCTCCAGTGGCCACCCCACGGATGTGCACCTCTTCAACTTGCTCGACGCCCGCGGCGCTGACGTGACGCAGTTGAAGAGCTGATGTCGCCGCTGACGAAGAAAACGTCTGCGACGTTCAGTCTGTCTAGGGGCCTGTCAACGGCATGCATGCTCATCGGACCATATTTTCATATGAGACCATGTGCTCTGTGCTTGGTTTTGGCTTTTTTTTGCTGATTTGCTGGCCTCAGATTATGCGTGGGCGACGGCACCAGTTTTCATTAGTAGCATGTTCTCATTGGCAAGCCTACGAGTGCAGAGGACGACGCAGACATCCGTTACATTGAAGACGGAGTGAGCTTCATCGCCACGCAGCTCACCGCCAAAGTGCCTCCTAAGTCATGGGGTAACTTCTGCGAAACGCCAGAGTCCTAATGGTGGCCAGAATGTGTGTTATCTGTCCTGAATAAATGACAAGTTGGTGGGCTCAATGGAAGGCCTTTGTCCCTGTGCGTTACACAATACGTTGCGAAGGCCCGGCATCAGCAATCCTCCAGACCAGTTCTTGATCGATAATAGCATGTCAAGCGACGATAAAAGACCCCTATGTGTTTCATAAACTCAAGCAAATGAAGCTGAAATAGAAGGACCAATCCGAAAACATTAAGAAATTAAGAGAGATAAGTTGTACCCAAATTCCTTCGGCATACCGTTCACACTGAAATGATGAAGCAAAAGTGTCTTGTTTTCACGAAGATAGGACATTTATCAGAGATTCCTCTCATGCCTGTAGGAGCAAATTGATACCTGTAGAATTGACTGTGACTCTTGTAGCGCGAACAGCAGAGACGACCTGGCCTTGAGTTAGCTCGAGGAGTGGAATCAATCCTCATCACTGTATTGTCGAGATAATTTTCACTGTGGAGATAAAGTGCCGGCCAGCGCTATTGGTGACGAGGAGCTGATACGGGGCGCCCGTGACGTCGGTGAGTATTGTTGGCGCCTTACAGTTCAGGCCATACGCCAGTGATTGTGGCCGTCTGCTCATCCTGATGCTGCAGCGGGACGCCCGTGACGTCATTTAGTTTTGTTGGCGCCCGACCGTTCACGTCATAGGTCGGTGATTGGTGGTCGCCTGTTTATCCTGCCAAGTCCCGATGTTCGGTTCAACAGCTGTGCGATACTTTTTTTTGCTTCTAGTATATCCCAAGTTTAAGCGGAAGTGCTAGATAATTCAGGTTGTGGTTGAAGGTATCTACCAATAGTTATATTTTCATACCAAAATGGTTGACTTGTCTAGGTAGGTGCATACATGATATGAGGGAACTATGGTTTATTTAGGTGTAGATAACATGGAGGCAAGGGTGCAGGAACTAGGGCGGAGAGGCTTCTCGATGATTTATTGTTGGCTCTATGGACGTTGGCAGGGAAGAAATCATCAAGAATTGCTGTGGGCCCGATCAACTTCAGGAAACCTCCTTGGTACCTGGGTACGTGTGACATGCTCTGAGCTTTCTATCTGGTCAAGCCACAGCTTCGAATCCTCTAATTTACCTTTTTTAACAGAAAATTGAGACCGTTTCTAATCTTAGCGACATTCTGCGACGCGTCCCGAGGGCCATCGCGGCTGGCACACACAAATTACCCGACCCCCTCATCACTTGTGACTGGAGGAGCGCAGGTAGACTGTGCACCACTCCCAGCCGCTGAAGATTACTACCTCCGACTCAACTCGAACTCATCTCGAAAGTTATGGCACGGATGTGCGTCATCTCCATTATTCAGAAATGAGTGTGATTTACGTGTCGTTACGGCATCCGTTCGAATAGATGGCACCAAACAAGGTCCGAAAGGTGTCAGCACTGCACACCAGGCTGGGTCCGTGGACGACTGTGGGAGAACGCTGGGCCAGCTTGCGTGGCAACACTGCCGATGCAGCGTGTTTTAAACAGATAACATGTCAAAACTATGCCACTGAAAACAAGCTGGCGACTACGCCTCAACACCGACCATACCGCACTTTCCCCAAAGGTCGACAGACGTTTCCTCAATATTTTTTTTTAGACAGATCGGCTAAGCAAACATACTGACGGCTTGGGTAAGCAGAGAAAACCCGCAGTCTTCCCCCAAAAGCTCAGCCTTGCCTCTGGCCTAGCCTGCGGTGGGGTGCATGGGTGGAGAGGTTGGCTTGGCCGTCGTGCGGTGTGCCAGTGGCCACACCAACCTCGGAGCTGGTGTAGTACATCCACGCCAACCTCGGAGCTAGTGCAGCACATCCACACCAACTTCGGAGCTAGTGTAGCACATCCACGCCAACTTCGGAGCTAGTGCAGCACATCTACGCCAACTTCGGAGCTAGTGCAGCACATCCACGCCAACTTCGGAGCTAGTATAGCACATCCACGCCAACTTCGGAGCTAGTGTAGCACATCCACGCCAACTTCGGAGCTAGTGTAGCACATCCACGCCAACTTCGGAGCTAGTGTAGCACATCCCCGCCAACTTCGGAGCTAGTATAGCACATCCACGCCAATTTTTCGGGCCTAGCCATCGCCAGTTAGGGCCTAGCCATGCCTGAAAATATTGAACATCTAATGATTCTGCACTATGTCGGAGGGGCACTACCATTTCGGACCCTCTTAACTGCATATGGGACAGCCGGACGAAAAAAAGCCAGGAAGTTAAAGGACAAAGAGGCAAATGTAAACCATCAAAAAGCAAAAAGTCAAGGGATAAAAGTCAAATGGGTGAATGCTCAACGGCAGTAAGTCAAACAAACAAAAAGCCCTAAGGGGTTAAAGCAAATAAGAAAACAGGCAAGGAAGACAAAACTCAAATGCGTCAATTTGAGAAAGTAGGGAGCCAAAAATACAAGGACACGTTTTTGCAGAGCTCATCTATGAGTTCTGAGAGCTTACGCTGGTTATCGACCCGCACCATATCAGCAGGAACTGGTTAACGCGCGCCAGGTTGGCCGGTTGGATACGCTTCGCTTGGGTAAGAGGTCAATTTGGCCCCCGAGATCTCAGGAAATAAGATGGCTAGAGACACCATATCTACAGGGTGTGATGCCCTCTACGTGAACTCACTCACCTTTAGTTATCAAGTCTGGCTTGTTAGCAGCAACTAACGACCCAGACCATATATAAAAGAAATTGTGCTGATCATGACATAACCCTGTCCGCCAAAAGCATGCTTGACTAGGGAGGTAACTGCTAAAAATCAGCATCATCAGTATATCAATCAGTAGATATGGTTGGTCTAAGACTGTTAATCGTGATGCGTTCCTGTTGCCTTCCGTAACCACTTTTTCCATCCCAGAGTGCAAAATCATTGGGAGAAAGGCGACATTCAATTTGTCTAAACTAGGAAATTACGCCAGGTATGGTTTTGAGGAGTAGGAGTTGGCTGCTGTGCGATTTGTTTGTCCCCTAGCCGTCCAAACTCAGAAGGCCGTTCGAAAAATCACACTCGAAAGCCCCCATCTGTGGCATGCCGATAGTGCAGTGGTTAACGCGTGGCTCACACGCATGCGTTAACGACTGCGTGTCTGGGAAGCCAGAGGTAGGGGGCTCGATACCCTGCGGTGCCCGCCCTTCCTGCCAGGACGAGAGGCAGTCGACGCCATATAGCCTCAGTAACTGAGCGCGTCGTAAAGGCCCAATGACACACGAGTTCCCCATCTGTGAGGAGGCCCATTTTGTCCAGGAGGCCGCTGAAATTTGTACAGCTGTTGAATGGTCATTCATGGGTAACATTTCTAATCTTACCAAACCTTATCAAGCGGCCAAGTGATGCTAAGGGTCGTAAAGTTCAATGAACTCTGAGATGGTCAGCGGTCCATGGAGCAGAGCCAAAACACGTCGTCCTATTCAAACTTTGGAAAGGTTTCAGTCTGCAGTTTGGAAAGGGCTCACTCCACAGATTGGAAGGGATCCAGTCAGCAGTTTGGAAAGGGCCCAGTCCGCAGTTTGGAAAGGATTCAGTCCGCAGTTTGGAAAGGGCTCAGTTCTCAGTTTAAAAAGAGTTCTGTCCGCAGTTTGGAAAGGGTTCAGTCCGCCGTTTGGAAAGGGCGCAGTCCGCAGTTTGAAAAGGGTCCAGCCCGCAGTGTGACAGATTCCAAGAGCAGCGGAGAGCACAGCTAAAATAGCTGCAAAAGTTCATACCTTACTGCTGCCTTGAATGGGAAGCGACTGCGATTGAGACT